ACACACACACACATATAATCTCATTTAATCCACACAAACACCATGAGGGAGATACTATTATTATCCCCCATTTTATAGATGTGGTAACTCAGGTATAGAGAGGTAAGAAACTTGCCCAAAGTCACACAGCCATTAAGTGATGGAACCAGATTTATAAACCCAGGCATTTGATTCCAGAATCCATATTCTTAACTCTTACAGTACAACTTAATTAAACCATAAGATAACATTTATCAAGCACCCATGTTGCCTGTGCTAAGTGTTTTGCATGCATTATCTCATTCCTCACAGGAACAGTATAAGGTAGGTACTGTACTATCCCCATTTTATGCATGTAACTGAGGCACAGAGAAGTCAAGTAAATTGCCTAAGGCCATACAACTGATAAGCCCTAGGTGTTGAAGTTGGGCTATGAACCCAAGTCTGTCTGACTCCAAAGCACAACCTCTTAACCACTATGCTGTATTGCCCATGGACCTCTGTTGGTATTAATTGGGTCAGATCCCATCTATAGTTCAACCCCAGTACAGGGTACTGGTACTCTCTTTATTGGCTTACATATACTGTGAAGTGCATTACTTATTTACCAGTGTGTTCCAGAGGCACATCCAAGGATAATACTTGAGTGATTTCCTGGCCAGGCCTACCTCATTAACCTCATCATTAGATGCTGCTTCCTTGACAAATAGCAGTTTTTCAGGCTTAGGCCATTGCCTCCAGTTTAGGCCAATAGGAGCTATTCAGTTTCAGCTCTCCTGTAGCACTGTCGCATTTGTTTGAGTAATTCATCCACCAGTAATGAGGTGATTCCTGCCTGTTAGAAAGGCAGTTCTCTGTGGAGGCATGAATGTGAAATACAGGTAAAAATCCAAAGCACTGTTTGAAGAATGTTGTTTCTAAGGATGGTGGTTTATGAACCTTTCTTTTCTATTTGTTCTCAAGGGTTTTCCTTCTGAAAAGGCAGAAGGTTTTGCAGCAGCAAGAGAGAAGTTTAATTCAGAGGAGGAAAATCATGAAGCTTATTTCATCTCTCTTTCCTTCTCCCTAGAGTCTGAATGGTGTTTGGCTGAACAGAGAACGTCTGGAACCTTTAAGGGTTTGTTCCATTCATAAGGGAGACCACATTCAGCTTGGTGTGCCTCTGGAAAATAAGGAGAATGCAGAGTATGAATATGAAGTTACTGAAGAAGACTGGGAGAGGATGTATCCCTGTCTTGCCCCAAAGAGTGACCAGATGATGGAAAAAAACAAGGGCTTGAGAACTAAAAGGAAATTTAGTTTGGATGAATTGAATAGTCTTGGAGCTGAAGGCCCCTCAAATTCAAAACCCAAAATAAGTGAAGTATTTTGTGAACCTGGTCAGCCAGTACAGTCACATGGGAATGATGAAGTAGCCAGTCAGCCCTCTGAATGTTCAAATCCTAAGATGACTTCTTATGAGCCCAGCAAGAAGACCACAGGGACTCATATTTACCTTGCCCCCCCAGGAGTTGTAGAGCTTCATCATAAGAAGCAGAAAGCTTCAAACCCTTCTGCATCTCAGAGCAGCTTAGAGCTGTTTAAGGTAACCATGTCTAGGATTCTGAAGCTGAAGACACAGATGCAGGAAAAACAGGTAGCTGTTCTGAATGTGAAAAAGAACCAAAAGGGGAACTCAAAAAACATTGTGACAATGGAGCAGGAACTACAGGATTTACAGTCCCAGCTGTGTGAAGAACAGGCCCAGCAGCAGGCGAGAGTGGAGCAGCTAGAGAAGACTTTCCAGGAAGAGGAACAGCATCTCCAGGTACCACCCAGGAGGGAGAGACAAGTGCCCTTCAGGGATGGGCAGGCCCTCGGTGAGCTTCTGGCCAGAAGCTTTCTGTTTCTGGGCCAGGGGCAGTAGATGGCATGGGACCAGAAGAGTTTGAGATGAGAGAAGGGGGTTGAGTAACAGGTTAAGGTTTCAGCATGCAGATGAGATCAGGAGCCAGAGTTGGGGTACCAAGATAGGGTACGGTGACCAGCAGAGTCAGCCAGGACATAACTGATCTTAGTATACAAAACTGAGGCAACTCAGAACCGAGGTAAATTCAGGGAGAAGGTGGATGAAGGTGAGGATGTCATGAAACCACAGTACACCCCATTTGAATCAGTGTTTCTCCTCATAAGTTTAGCTCTGTGGTCAGAGCCAAAGCAGTCCCGTGGCAGGTACAGGTCAGCTGGTTACTCTGTCCTCCTGGTACGTGGCTGCTTGTTAACTAGGAGGGTTAGTTAACTGTGTAGCTAGCCTAGGAAGTGGGAGGCTAGAAAGGCAGAGATGTTTTTGTTTCTGTCTTGAGCAGCCAGCAGGGTGGGGGACTGGCACACCATGACTCACTTGTTGGGTTGAGTGATGAGTGCCTTTAGAAGAAAGGTGAAATATTTACTGTCTTAGCTCTGTCAGGGTAAGACCAAATGAGTCCAAGTTGCTGAGCCGTTTGCTTAAATGACAAGCTCTCACAGAACTTCTAGGCTAGAGCTGATCCTGGGCTCTGCTCAAAATGTCAGTTCCTATCTGGCAGGAACCACGCATTTTACTCCCACCTAGTTGCTCAGGTAATGCTGAATGTCAAGAATTCCCCAGTGTTGACTTAGAACTAAGAAGGACCAAATCATGACTGGAGTAAATAAGCTTTTATCTTTTTGTTTAGGCTGCTCAGGGCAAGGAACAACCAGAAGTAGTGTTGGCTCATTTGTGAACAATTTGTAGATTTGGTTCTAATCTCTGCTATCCTCTTGTACTGGTAGTATTAGCAAAGGCCATGGATTAAATAGGGTAGACATAGGTTGCTTGTGTGTACATTTTTGCTTCTCTTATTCAGCCTGGACTAGTTCTTGAAATTAATAGAGGATGGTTTATCTTTACATATTTAGTATATCATACCTTCACCAGAGCAGAACTCTCTTTAAAGGCTAATGTATTTAGGAACAACAGTTAACTGTTAATTAGTATTTGTGGCTGCTCTGGGTACGCTTCAAGGTATAACTACAAAATCTTTTTCAGTACCAAAATGCTAAAGAAAGGCAAAAAGAATTGGTTTAGAGAACATGTATAAATTGTTCATAGTGGGGTATATCTAGTCCATTGTTTATTAGGTGCATTTCTGTCTGCCCACCAAGCCGTACGGATTTATCCTACCCATAGTACTTGCTGGGAAGCTCATTTAACCCTTGCTTCTGCACACAAATTTGTTTTGAGCACCTATGTTGCCTGGCACTATGCTTGGAGTTCTGGTAATTATAAGAATGCTCAATAAATAGTTTTTGCCATTAAGGAATTTATCTAGTTAAGGAGACAAGATGTATGCTACATATCAGAGAACAGTTTCAAGTCAATATATTCAGGTAGAGAACAATTTCAAATTGGCATAATAAATGTATTATGATTAGGTAAAGTAGGAAGGGAAGGGCCCAGATGTTCTTATGCAAGAGTGCTATTTGTCAGTTAATGATGATGTGGAAGGCACTCTGAAAGGGGCACATGGGGGAACTATAGCATAAGCTCAGGCAAGGAGGGAAAAAGAGCAGTTTATGGGCTAGAAGTGGTAGAGAGACTCAGAATGAGAGATGGGGTGGCTAGAATTGAGGGCAGAAACATGGTAGAGCTCATTAGTGCCAGCCTGGAGGATTCTATCTGAGTTTAGATATTTGGTGGCTCAGAAGCTCTCAGTTTACATCCTTTCGGAGTCATGGCATTAGTCATTGGACTTGCACTATTAGCCTAGGGTTTTCCAGAATAACCCTGAGTGGTGACTTAAAGGTGACAGCCCTGAGGTGTGCAGTATTTGAGCAGATAGCTCTGCCCAAATCCCTTATTACCAACAGCTTGAAGTAAAACGGGAGATTTTCTACCTGCTTCCTGTCCCCTGTTGTTTCCAGATGCTCATGCTAGCTGGTCTCTGCATGTTGCTGGATTTTGTACCTTTTTCCCCTCCCTGCAGGGAAACCTTCCATTTTGTTTTTGACTTTGCAGGGTTTGGAGGAGGAGCAAGGAGAAGATGACCTGAAGCAACAGCTGGCCCAGGCTCTGCAGGAGGTAACTTGTCTCTTGCCACTGTTCTTAGATAATAGTGGGCTGTAGAGTAGGGGGGCAGCCAAGCGCTTCATGGCCACTGGCTGCCTCTGCTGCTTAGCCCACACCTCTGCAGCATCTCCAGTCTGTAAACAGAGCAGATGGCAGCTGCTTTCACCATCAGGTCGGAGATTTGGAGCCTCACAGACATGCCAGACTGAAGCATGAAAACTTACATCTTCATCTGAGCAGACGTTGCTCTAGTGAAGATGGAGTGGAGCCTGTAGCAATTAGGAGGCTTTCTGGGGAAGTGGCTCCACTTCCACAAAGGTGAGGGCAACGCAGGGGAAATGTGAGCTGTGACTTGGCCACCAGCGCCTGCAAGGGCCTCCGTTACCTCACCACTCCTGATCTGTAGCCATCCAGAAACCATTCGAGAAAGTTCCAATTGAGCATTTTAGGTCAGATTGAGAGTGGACAGATTAACAGTTAGCAGAGCATACCGATTTACCGAAAAGGCCAAGATTCACAGGAATAATATTCTCCTAAAAGATTGCCTGTAATTTATCTCATTTAATTTGACTACTTACTTCTTTCATTTGATTGTTTTCATAAACACTGGCATCTTTAAAACTTGCTTTTGTCTTCGATCCTTTATGTATTATGATTAGTGGTTCAAAGCAATTTTAGTCAGGAGGTTAGTGGGATGGTTCAAATCTTCTTGAGAAAAGTGAGCAGAGCATTGGAATTTGTTCAGGGGAATTTATCCTCATGTTTGTTTATTGCTGCCTGCCTCCCACCCTCCTTACACCGGTCACAGTCGTGTATCACTGTAAGCATGAGAGGGGACCTCCCTTGATTTCCTGGAATGGTGCATAAACAGCCTTGGGAAAGAATTAGGTGAAAATTAATTCAATCTTTTTGGAATTTTATTTTCTGAACTTGTTTATTTTCTAGGGTGGGAGGGTAGGCGTATGCCCTATTTAGAGTTCTCAAGCATTATTAATATTCAGATATTGTTTTGAAATTGACTGGAAAAGAATAAGGGTCTGCTACTTGGAAATCCCCAAGGGATCATTGAGTACCCTGTACCCACAACTCCTCACCCTCTCCTTGGACAGGCAGGAAAGCATACCCATCATTTAGCATGGGGTGCTTGGCTAGTCTGCATTCAGTAGCCTAGAAAGTGATATTTTAAGGTCGTGATTCTATTCCAGTACACATGAGGGGCATGCCACTCTCTCAGCTGAAGCAGTGGTTGCTCTTTTGGTTCACCCTGCTGGTTCCTCTGAAGCTGTTCTCTTTTATTTACCAGGCCATTGTAAAAACTTGCATTTATATAGAGCAGAAAAAATTTTCTGAATGCTTTGATACCTGTTATTTTATTTTCTTATCAATGCTGAGTTAGGAAGGGCACCTGTTTTCCCATTTTATAGATGAGAAATTTTAGGCATGTAGATCTAATTAGTGGTCAAGATGAGGCCCCAGGCTTTCTGACATAACTGCTGTTTTTGAGACCACACATTTTAAAATTTGTTTCTTAAGTAATATCATCTCAAAAATACTTATACTCTACCTTCTTTTTAAAAAAAGGACCCTTTGTGGCACAGTGGTTAAGTGCTTGGCTGCTAACCGAAAGGTCAGTGGTTCGAATCCACCAGCTGCTCCACGGGAGAAAAGACCTGGTGATCTGGTCCCACAAAGATTACAGCCTTGGAAACCTTGTGAGGCAGTTCTGTTCTGTCCTGTAGAGTCGCTATGAGTCAGAATCGACTCAATGGCAATGATTTTTTTTTTCTTCTTTCTTTAAAAAAAGAATTTGAGGTGAGATTTTAAAGTATAAGCTATACTTAGGCATGAGGGAGCTCATAAATTATGTTTCCTAGAAGTGGAACCTCTTGATTTTGGTGTGGGTAGTTAGTCACCATGAATGTGCTGTTAGCTGTGAGGTATGCCAGCTTACAGAAGACACTGGTAGGGTTCAGGCAGCATTGCCTAATGAGCGTGTAGTATGTGAGCTATGGAATAGGTTAAAGATCTTTTTTTATTTCAATGAAAATTATTAGCTAGATTCTTTGAATCCCATTTTCCTTGATTATTTCTTAAAAGCTTCTCCCAGTGCTAGTTATCTCACAGTTATTTAGTAGTTCTTGAGCACTAGTTCCCAGAATTACTTGGGCAGCTTTAAAAAAAATACACATTCCTGGGCCCCAAGCCAAACCTATAGAATCAGACTCTGGAAGGCAACAGAAGTTCTTCAGTTGATTCAGATGGCCACTTGGATTGGGAACAGCTGTCCTAGAAGGACTAATGGATTTGATGGCCTCCCTTCCTCCCTGTTCCCTTTTCTGAAAAAAAGTAGGTAGGTAAGATGTCCTGAAGGAATGAAGGCATTATTTTGTAATTGCCAAGTCATTGATCCCTTGAGCCAAAGCCACTGGCTAGAGGGAGGGAGCAGGCGTGTGTGTGTGGCTAAAAGGAAGGGTGCAGTGTCAATCACCCTGAGCATGTTTCTGCTGTGTTTCTGCAGCATCGGTCTCTAATGGAAGAGCTCAATCGCAGCAAGAGGAACTTTGAAGCAATCATTCAAGCCAAGAACAAAGAACTGGAGCAGACCAAGGTACTGGAAAGGAAGATGGAGGTTTAGAATTTGGTTAGTACATGCAACTCAGCATTTTTGACAGTGCAAGGGTTGCTATCGTGAATGAAGAGAGAGATTATGGCTGCTCCTTGCCTCAGGGGAAATAATCTGTAAAGTTATTAAAGCCTCTCGAAGGTTCTGCCTGTAAGACAACATCTATTTTTTTCCCTCGTTCAGAAGTGAAATGCTGGGAATAAGTCACTCACATCCTGGGGTCTAGTCCTTTGTCTGTGGTAGTCGCTCCTTCTTAGTGTTTTACTGGCACAGACTAAGGAGTGGTATAGTCAAATAAAAAATAATTCATTCTGATGCATTCTTATAATTCCTTCCCACATCAGATCAGTGGAATTCTTAAATAAGGCTTATAAATTCAAATGCCCACCAGAGCCATACTGGTAATAGAATTGAGTGAAGTGGCCTGGGTGTAAGAACACAGTGGGGAACTGTGAAGACTGGCACATTAGAAAGGGGTGCTCGCCGCCTCATCCCCTCACTCAAGCAGCCTTTCTCTGCTGCAGCCAGTTGTTGCCATCCAGAAATGCAGGCCCAGTGCCGTCAGATCTTCTCATTTTTCCACCAAAGGTGGAAATCCAAATGTTTATGTGAAATATCCCAATTTTCAAATATTGGCAGTAAGTTCAGTTTTTGTTTTGTTTTTTAACACCATGAGGGCCAAACTAAACAAGTCTGCAGGCTGGATCCAGTCCACAGGTCACCAGTTTGCAACCTTTGACCTGGAAGTAATGCCTGAGTCTGACTGCATCTCTCATCCCCACCCCACATATAGACCTAGAGCCAAGTACAGACAGGAGGAGGAGACTTTTTCAGTTGGTTTGATATCCTTATCCTCTGTTTAAATCACGTAGTACCTTCTCCCCCAACCTCCAAGTGACCAACGCATCTTTTTTAACCCAGTGATTCATAAGTTTTCGGGCAACTCAGCTGTAGTTAGAAATGGGTCCAGACCCTGTTCACTGCCCTAAGCAGCCTGACAGTCTTTGCTTTGATTAAAAAACAAAAGATGAAGAAAAAAAAACCAACTCTTCAAACCTACCCTAGATAGTTTTTTCTCTCCCTCCCATTCAGGGGCTCCTGATGCCTTCTGTTTTGGGGATGAGGTGCTAACTTAGATAACTTTCTGACAAACATTCTTCTAGAGAGCATAGCTAGAATTCTCCGAAAAATGTCAGGTGTCCACAAGCAGTCTGACCTCTTGGGGAAAAACACAGGGGAATTGCACTGCAGATTTCTTCAGCAGTGGGCAGTAGCAAGCATCACAGAGCTTGGGGCCTGAAGGTGCTTTGAGAGGCCATCTCTCCAGCCTCTTGCCTCCAGGACATACAGGAATTAGTCCTATTTCACAGAAAAGACTAATTCGGGCCTTCTGCTTCTGTGTAGTGATCTTCATGTCTTTCTCCTTGTCTAGTGCATTCTTAGTTGTTTAGGATGATTTTATGTCATCTCTGAACTGCAGGTTGCTGTAGGGTACTTAATGTCTTATTCTGGTCTTGGGTGGCTGGTAGGGTTGGTATGCCACCTCTAGTTTTTCTCATTTCGTTAATTTTGAGGAAGGAGACAGAAGCTACAATGCAAATACTGAAAAAGAGGGGAGAGGAAAGAAAGGAAGTCAGTTCCCTGTATTAGAAAGCAGTTCTGAGAAACAGTAACCCTTAGGGAAAGTGTTTTCGTCTTGTCTTGCTGTGCCAGAATGAATTTTTAATTTAGACTCCTTCTGAATCCTATTCCAGACAATTAACCCTGCTCCCTGGCCTGTTTTGCATTCTATTGGCTCTCCTGAATGACAGGTGGGGTTGTGTGTCTTTGCAGGAAGAGAAAGAGAAGGTACAAGCACAGAAAGAGGAAGTTCTTAACCACATGAATGACGTGCTAGAGAATGAGCTCCAGTGTATTATTTGCTCCGAATACTTCATTGAGGTAATTATAAACACAGTAGCTCACCCCTTCTCACCCTCCCGACTCTGAATGGAGCCTGGGCTTCACATGCTGCATCTGCAACAGGAAAAAATTCTGAAGAGATTTTTCTTGCAGAAACTTATTGTAGCCCTTGGATGTCAAAGTGACCCCTAGAGATGGCAGCTTGTCATTTGTTTTTGTAGTCTTCTTTCTCCTTACTGTCCTTTTTCTTATTTTATTTGTTCTTGAATATTTATTGGGTATAATTAACGTTTTTAGCCACAATAAAGCCTTTATTTCTTTGTTGAGGACCACATGGCATTAGATTTTTGAAGTATCAGAATAAAGCTGCTCAGTAAAGTGAGTCTTTCTTTACTCCGAATGGGCTCTGTGCCAAGAGCATGTATTTAGTGTAGCCTTTTAAACAAGGCAGTAAATGTGGTTGATGTATGGTCACTTTGGAGATTTCAGGGCCAAGTTGAACATAATTTTAGGGATTGTAAGGCTCCTTGTGAAAATGAAACATCTCTGTACTAAGTTACCCTTTGTTATCCTGTCATGTTTTTGCACTATTTTTCATAAAATTCTACCATTTGTGACCAGTTCGTCTTAGTTACCCTTTGTTATCCTGTCATGTTTTGGCACTGACTATTTTTCATAAAATTCTACCATTTGTGACCAGTTCATCTTGGACCACAAGTATTAAAACTCAGGTTGTTAAACGACTGTGTTTCAGACTCCTTTAAAAAGGGAAACACACACATACACTGCTTCCTTTTCTCAGGAAGTGTTTAGGGAGGCTAGATGTAAAAGCCTTCTGAAAAATCCCTCCTGGGCAGACCTACTTCCCTACGTTAGAGAAACTCAGTGTTGTTTGACAGTGCTGTGGACTCTGTAGAGAGACACAAGGAAAAGAAGGTTGGACTGGGTGATAGGTTAGCCAGCCTGGGGCATCTGCACATACATATGAGGCGCAAACAACTTGACCTGTGTTTTGTTTACAGCATACTGCCTGACCTACACTACCAGTCTCAAAAGTCAGCATTGGAAAGATATTTCATTTTAATCAGGCAGGATTTTAGTCCTGTTTATAAGAATTGATCTCTTACTATAAATAACACGTCTCCTCGTTTTCTAGCTTTCTGGGCTCAACTTGGCATTTGAAAAATACTTAATTTCTGTGTTATTTTCCACTGCTACCCCAAAAGCAGGAATGAAGATGTTTGAGCCTCAGAGAAAGTTGTATCATAGGAGATGTGCATAAACATGAGTAATGAAGAGAATGGTTTATATTCTCTTCTTGGGAGAGGAAAGGACTCTGGGAGATATCTAACCAGAGGGATTGTGCAGAGGACCCCTTGAGTCCAAGCTTCCTTTTGCTTTCTCTCTCATCAGAGGCACGTTTACTTACGGGTTTAGGCACTGTCAGTGAACCCTTTACGTTTTTCACATTTTTTAGTTCCTTTTCCTCCTAGCCGTTTACATTTATTTAGTTAGTTTCTTTAGAGATGATGCCTCCTACCATTCTGTTCTATTCTGAGTAGTCAGTATGTGCTCCCCTTCGAGGTTCTAGTTCAGCATTATTAGCAGGGCATAAATTTGTTTCTCATAAGAGAATTAGTGATGTATTTGTACTACAACATTCACATACTTACTCATTCTTCTTGTGTCCGGTGACATTTGTTTGCAAGGTGGCTAGTTTGCGTCGGTAGTTTGGTCTGAGTTGATGGAAAAAAACAGACAAAACATTCTCCCTGGGGCCTGAATCCATGATCTTAACTTTGAGAAAGGAGGAAATGAACCGTTTAATATAAAGCTTAACTTTCCAAACCCCAAAGATGATTCTAATGCCCTTCGTAAGCCCTCCAGATGTGATCGTGTTTAACTTCCTCTTTGGCCTTGGAAGTTAGCTCCCATCCTAGCTTTGAGATCACAACCGCCCCAGGAAAGTAAGCATGACATTTCTGATGTGTGTGTTCACATTGTCATTGTAGGCTGTCACCTTGAGCTGTGCCCACAGTTTCTGCTCCTACTGTATCAGTGAATGGATGAAACGGAAGATCGAGTGCCCCATTTGTCGGAAGGACATCACATCCAAAACTCACTCCCTAGTTCTGGACAATTGCATTAGTAAGATGGTAGATAATCTGAGCTCAGAAGTGAGAGATCGACGAATTATCCTCATTAGGGAACGAAAAGGTGAGTGGTTATGAGCATACCAACTCCTCAGCAAAGGACTTACTTATTTTCAGACTTTGATAGATGTATAAGGTACTTTCCATAGTACTTTTACCTATAATTATATTGCTTAATTCCCTCAATCTTGTGAGATAGTCAGGAAGGTGGTGGGTGATTTACCATTTAAGAAAACTGAGGCCTAGGGAGATAAAGCAACTTATCCATTCTTACACCGCAAGGTAGTTGTATTAGTTTCTTAGGGTTCCATAACCAAGTTCCACGAACTAGGTGGCTTAAAACAACAAAAATTTATTCTCTCACAGTTCTGGGGACTAGAAATCTGAAATCAAGGTGTTGGCAGGGACCCATACTCTGAAGGCTCTAAAGGAGAATCCTTCCTAGCTTCTGGTGGCTGCCAACAATTCTTTGCATTCCTTGGCTTGTAGCTGTATCACTCCAGTCTCTGCCTCCATCATCACATGGTCTTCTCTGTGCATCTGTTTGTCTCTAAATCTCTCTCTCCTTATAAGGATACCAGTCATCTTGGATTTAGAGCCCATCCTAGTCCAGTATGGCCTCATCTTAACTTGATTATATCTACAAAGACCCTATTTCCAAATAAGGTCACATTCACAGGTACTGGGGGTTCAGACTTGAACATGTCTTTTTGGGGGACATAATTCAACCCATAACAGTAGTCTAGCCATTTTCTATTGTTTTATGTTCTCAAAAAGACCAAGGATAGCTGTTAAGGTCATCTTCCTTTATAGTTCATCATGTCATGAAGAGTTAATATCCCTCCTCTCTTCTAGGCCCCAGGTAGTTTCTCCTTTCCTAACTTTTTTTCATACGGCCAGATTTTTTACTTAACTCCTTTAGTGGGCAAAGATGTGGGACCAAGTTCACTCAGTGAGTCATAGCTCATCATCTAGGGAAAGAACAGGAAGAGTCTTGGGCTGAGTATGTGGGGAGAACTGAAGATAGCAAAACTGGGAGAGTATTCCAAGAATGCACTACTAATAGGAATGGAGGGGAGAATTGGGCAGGTAGAAAATTGCTCACATGCCCTTCCAAAGATGTTAGGATTCCTGGACAGCTAATTTTCTTGCCAAAAAATAACTCCTATGCTTTACCTTAAATTTTCCCAATTGGAAATTTATTTAATAGTTTTATCTTTTAAATTGCAAATGCCCCTGGAGAGATTAAGGAGACTTTCTGTCTATAGCCCCTTTTACTCTGGGAGCAATTGGGTCCTTTGGGTGTGAGCCAGTAGCCAGCTGGGTATCCATCTAAGCATACATGTGGTCTAGACTTTTTAGCTTCATAATGACTGAAGTCACAGTGGGATCAAATCCAAGCCCCACTAAAATCCAAGTAGGATTTGCTTTCCCTTCTAATACATTGCTTAACTCTTTGAAAATGAGAGCATGAAGGCATTCACGTATGTTATCACTGTATTATACACTCCAGTACAAGTTAAAAGTCCCTGACCTTGAGTCATTTCTTTTCTAAATCAAGAGGCAGTGTACCACCTGGATTTAATAACGAGTCTAGTTAGTATATAAACCCAGAGTGAAGGATGGAGGCCCCTCAGATCAGCATGATTCAGTCAGAGGCTTTACAGTTGCGTGCTGGAGCAGAGGGTAGAACTCTGTGTTAGAAATGGGAGTACCATTCTTATGTCATTGTTATTGTTAGGTACCGTTGAGTCAGTTCTGACCTGTAGCAACCCTGTGTACAACAGAGCAAAATGCCACCCAGTACTGCATGATCCTCACAATTGTTGTTGTGCTTTGAGCCTATTGTTCCAGCCACTGTGTTGTTCCATCGCCTTGAGGGTCTGCTTTTTCGCTGATCCTCTGCTTTACCAAGCATGATGTCCTTCTCCAGGAACTGATCCCTCCTGATAACATATCCAAAGTATGTGAGATGAAGTTTCGCTATTCTTGCTTCTGAGGAGCATCCTGGCTGTACTTTTTCCAAGACAGATTTGTTAGTTCTTCTGGCAGTCCATGGTATATTCAATATTCTTCAGCAGCACCATAATTCAAAGGTGTCAATTCTTTTTTGGTCTTCCTTATTCATCGTCCAGCTTTCGCATACATATGAGGCGATTGAAAATATCCTGACTTGGGTCAGGCGCACCTTAGTCCTCAAAGTGACATCTTTGCTTTTCAACACTTTAAATAGATCTTTTATACCATTCTTATATTATTACCTTATCTACTTCAGTTGTCTTTGCTGTAGTGAATGTTTTTGGCATGTAGTGGTCTAGTATAAAGGAACTCCTGACTTATAAATGGATTATGTTCCCAAAGAAAGAAAATGTTTCATCTTATTCTTTTATTGGCTTTCTTCCTTTCTCCTACTTTAAAAAAAAATTTTTTTATGTGATAAAATAATATATAATGAAAAGTTTTCCATTTTAACTGTTTTTAAGTGTACAATTCAGTGACATTACATTCACCATATTGTGCAAACTTCATCACTGTCCATTTCCAAAAGTTTTTTATCACCCTAAACAGAAACACAGTACCCCTTAAGCAATAACTCTCCACTTCCCTCTCCCACCAGCCGCTGGTAACCACTATTAAACTTAAGTCTCTCTGCATTTGCCCATTCTAGATATTTCATATAAGTGGGATCATACAATATTTGTCCTTTTGTGCCTCATGTATTTCACTCAGCATAATGTTTTCAAGGGTCATCCAACTCATACATGTATCAGAACTTCATTTCTCTTTGTGGCTGAATAATGTTTTTTATACATTCCTCTGTTGGTAGACACAGGTTGTTTCTACCTTTTGGGTATTGTGAATAATGCTGCCATGAACATTGGTGTATAAGTATCTGTTTGAGTCCTTGCTTTCAAGTCTGTTGGGTATGTATATACCTAGGAGTGGAATGGCTGGGTCATATGGTAATTCCATGTTTAACTTTTTGAGGAACCGCCAGACTATTTTCAGTAATGGCTGCACCATTCATTTTATATTCCCACCAGCAATGCACAAGGGTTCTGATTTTTCCACGTCCTTGACAACACTTGTTATTTTTTCTTTTTCTGATAATAGCCATGCTAGTGGGTGTGAAGTCGTATCTCATTTTGATTTGCTTTTCCCTAATAACTAATGATGCTGAGCATCCCTTTGCCTTTCTCTTGAGTTGGGTCCCCTGTTTTCTTCCTCTTTCTTGGTTTGATGGGTTGATGTGGTGGAATATGTCCACCATTCATGTCCACCTACCCAAGAAGGGATGCATTGGATGTAAAATTTTGAGATCTTGAATATTGGGAATATCTTTATGTTCTCTCATATTTGTTTGGTAGTTTAGCTGGGTATAGAATTTGTGCTAGGAAATTGTTTTCCCTCTGAATTTTGAAAGCATTGCTCAGTTGTCTTACAGATTCTAGTGTTGGCACCAAGAAATCTAATGCTATTCTCATTCCCAGTCATTTTGATGTAATCCAGTTTTTCTCTCTGGGAGCTTTTAGAATTTTTCTTATCTTTAGTATTCTGAAATTTTATGATGATATGCCTTCATGTGTTCTCTTTTCAGTCATTGTATGAAACATTCTATGGGTCCTTTCAATCTGGAAACCCATATTCCTCAGTTTTGGGAAACTTCTTTGATAATTTCTCCTTCTGCCACTACTGTTAGTTGAATTTTGGGCCTCTTGAACTAATCCTTTAATTTTCTTATCATTTCTCTCCCCATATTTCATCTATTTGTCTTTTTATTTTACTTTTTATGAGATTTCCTCAATTTTAATTTCCAGCCTTCCTGAGGAATTTATTTCTGTTCTCATTTTTAATTTTCGAGAGCTCATTTTTAAATTCTCTCTCTGTTTCTTTTTTATCCTGCTCTTGTCTCCTGGGTGCAATATTTTATCTTTCAAGGATATTAATTTAAGTTTTATTTAATTTCTTGCAATGTCCTTTTCTTCTGGGTTCCTTTTTGTTAATTTTGATTTATTTCTTTGATGTTAGGGGTATTCCTCAAATATCTGGTGATCTTTGGCCATCTGATCCATATTTAAGAGTGAGAAACTAAATGCTGGTTGGAGCGCTATATGCTTGGGCAACACTTGCCAACCATGGGGCTTCACTATAGAATAATCAGTCAAGACCCTGCTCTTTTGTTGTGGGGGAGGGGTTTCCAACTGAGAGTGCTTTTGGGTCTTCTCTCTTGATTTGATTAGTTTCCTCAGAGTTGAATATTCCAGTCTTCTGACCTAGGGATAGAGGGGATGGCAGAGGGTAGAATAAGACAGGTTGGCAGGGCTAAGTAGGGGAAGGAGGATAGGCCATGTATATATGTGTTTTTCTTTCCCACTTTTTGCTATGTGGGCTTTTACTTAGTTCCCCCATTTTTAGTAAGGCCACCTTACCTTCCTTCCCTGTTCTCTCCAGCCAAAGCAATGCCTGCTATTCCCGAGTCTAGAGCCTCTGATTCAATGTCTGCAGACAGGAAGCCCCCAGTCTTCTGTTGGCATAGAGGAGGGTACAATTTTTCCTGTTGTTTGTGTTAAGTGGGAAGTGGGGGGTCTAGGGGTCTAAGTGCTCCTTAGAAAGATTTTCAGCCAATCTGCTTCCAAGCCACACCTTCACCCACTTCCCCTCAAAGTCATACATGTACATCCACGTAGGCTTAGGTTTCAGCTTTTTCAAGTCTGCTGAGATATCTTTGTCTGCTGTGGCCTCCTCTGTTGTTTGTTCTGTTTTTTAGAATGTAATGCCTTTTTTTATTTACTATTAGTTGAGTGGCATTTGGGAGGGAGCAGAGATTAATGTATAGATTCGATACATCTTTTGAAGTGGAAGTACTTTTTCTGTCCTTTCTTATAAAAATACTTTGCTACCAAACATTCAAAACAATTCAAAAATATTAAAATAAAAAGTATAAGGTTTAACTCTCTAGCTCTTAAGTCTACTCATCAGAGATATCCACTGCTACAGTGCTTTTTTTCCTAATAGAATATTTAATTCTAGGCTATTCCTGAATGGATGTGGATTAAATGTTAC